ACTTTGTAGGACTTTCCAGAGTTTTTACAGTGCTATTATGCCTTGGCCTTTGAAAATCCAGTCACTCCCTTCCCTCATTGAATATTAGAACAGATATTTAGTAAAAGTGGCAAAAAATTATATCAATACTTCAGAGATCCATGATTTTACTAATATGAATGTTCCTTCAGTTAATAAAGATTGCAAGACCTCCACATCTTAGCAACTGGCTTAATGAATCACTGTAGCCAACACAATTAATTATTCCATAGCCAATCCTCCTGTGAAGAGGCTCTCATAGGCTGAGTGTCAGACAGCAAGCATAAACAATAACATTTAGGTTCGTTTATGAAGTCTTTTTATCTTCCAGTATCCTACTAGACAATGCTTGCTCTTCACTGGCATAAACTTTGAAAATCCACATCTGCCTCCATGTGGGTCATAAATTTAGAGCTGAAATGGACATTGCAAGTAAGTCTATTTTAGAGATGAAAAAACTGAGGCCCAGAGAAGTTAAGTGACTTGCCCAAGGTCACACAGCTAGTCAATGTCTAAGATAGAATCATAATAATACATTGTAATAGAGCAAAACTTCAAGTGTAAAAATTAAAAAGGAAAAAAAGGAAAATAATTCAATCTTTATATTAACAGAAATGGCCCAGAATGAACAGGATATATTTGGGTTTTTTTGCTTTGTTTTGTGTTTGTCAATAAATAAAAAAATGATACAAATGGTCAGTGAATTAATCCCAGAACTGAATAGGAGAAGAGCATGTTAGAGTGCCTTTAAAGAATTACAAAGTTATTTTAATAACCCCAAGCTTCTCCCTGAAACAAAGCTCCATCTTTTTAGCTCTAATATACTTCTATTATTGTTGCATGATTTCAATTCATGGAATATCACAGTCTTCTGCAGTATCTGTCCAGGAGTGTAGGTTAGTTCTAGTGAGTCCATAATGAGTTCCTGTTGTCATTGTCCTACTCATCCTCATCATCGTCATCATGTTGTTTCTGGGGAGTAGAATAGTCTGGACCCAGACTAAGAATTCGGAGGTTAGAATTAGGGAGGGAAGGAGATGTTGCTCATCCACATGGCCCCAGAAATAGACCATCTTTGGAAGAGGGAGGAATTTTTATGTGTTTTTTTGTTTGTTGGTTTGTTTGTTTGTTTGTTTTGTTTTTTGTTTTTGGAAAAGGCTTTGGGCAGCTTTGAGCTGGGGAGAGATGAGCAGAAACTACAACAGAGACTTGTAAATTATAGTGACACCTAGTGGTTACACAGTAATTTGTTGAAATTGATGATTACCCAAAAGACAAGAAAGAAGCAAATGAACAAATGGTAGGTATGAAAACTCTGACACGAAGAAGAAGAAGAAGAAGAAGAAGAAGAAGAAGAAGAAGAAGAAGAAGAAGAAGAAGAAGAAGAAGAAGAAGAAGAAGAAGAAGAAGAAGAAGAAGAAGAAGAAGAAGAAGAAGAAGAAGAAGAAGAAGAAGAAGAAGAAGAAGAAGAAGAAGAAGAAGAAGAAGAAGAAGAAGAAGAAGAAGAAGAAGGAGAAGAAGAAGAAGGAGAAGGAGAAGGAGAAGGAGAAGGAGAAGGAGAAGAAGAAGAAGGAGAAGGAGAAGAAGAAGGAGAAGAAGAAGAAGGATGAGGAAGAGGAGGAGAAAGGAAGAGAACAAGAATTAAAAAGAACAAGTGAGGTGGAAAATGCTACAAAAATGTATGAGCAAAAGAGAAGGAAAGGAATGTGGAGAAGTAAAGGAATAAGCAGTGGATAAGCTACATATTTCACTGTCACTTCTTATGATATCAAGAGAAAGCAAGAAAGGTTCTCATTACTTGGGCTGGAATCCTCCTCCCTACATGAATTTATGAGATGATATGGATAAAGTTTTCAGAGGATGGATGGAGGGATGAATTATTGTCTGTGTAAATGGAGGGAATAATTATATCAGTGAAGTCACCATTTACGTATTTGTGATTGTATCGAATCTGGCATAAGAAATGCTAGGCATTCAACAGGAGTCTATAACTCAATCATTAAATTCAGTGAAACCCCAATGAAAAAGAATGATCTATAAATGAAGGTGCTGGACTTAATGATCTGTAAGTTTCCTTCTAGCTCTATGACCCTATGGCTGAGCTATTTATGTTTTGGTTAACTGAGTTAAAGCAAAAATTCATTTTATTTCAATTACTATTATTATAATTACTTCCAAAGAAAGTAATCTTTCTCTAAAGATTAGGAATCTTGCTTTAATGCTCATTATTTTGAACATCAATAATCAATCAATGGGCATCACTAAACCTATAGGTAGATAAACAGATGATATAGGAAATTGGGCTAAGGGTGCACAGACTTTCAAAAACAACCTAGTCATTTTTTTCTGTTCTTTTGCTATAAATATTTTTTACCAACTTGTTTTTAAAGAATGGCCTTTTTTGTCTTAAAGTAATATGCAACAGGAAAGAAAAAAGAAAAATTTTACTCAGTTGTGTTCTGATTAGTGGACTTCTAATTAATTGATACTTTGCTGTGCTAAGAAAACAACTGGCTATACATTCTGTGGTTGCTATTGGCAGCTTAAAAATCAAGCCCTATAGAAAAAAGGCCCTTTAAGAAAGTCTTGAAGGGCAGCTAGGTGGCTCAGTGGATAGAGCACCAGCCCTGAAGTCAGGAGGAGCTGAGTTCAAATCTGGCCTCAGACCAAACACTTGACACATACTAGCTGTGTGACCTTGGGCAAGTCACTTAACCCCGATTGCCTCACTAAAAAAATAAAAAAAAATTTAAAAAAGAAAGTCTTGGGGTATATATTAGGGCTCCTTAGAGAGTTCTAAATATATAAATAAAACAGTTGAAGTTAGAAACACTTTCCCTTAAATGATAGAATTCAATTTGATGTTATAAATAATATGTCTATTTTAATATAAAATGAACTACAATGATATTTTGTGTTTTCTTACCTTCTCTATCTTTATCTATGAAATGCACCCACACTTTGTAATCTTAACTGCTTATAACTATTTTCAATGGCCATTTTGACTAAGTTGTCAAGAACATATATTAATATATATGCACATATAAATATGCATATATAAATATGTCCATACATATATGTAAAATGAATGTAAACCAACCACTACAGTTATGAACTGTTGTCTAAGTAATATTTTTTGGACCTAAGTAGGTATTTTTTGTTGTCATTGGGCAAAAAGTGGCAGGTGCCTCCTGAAGGCAATAGCCAAGAATTGTTTATCTTTTACTTCTCCCATTCTCCAGGTCTCCATATTTAGTATTTCACAGCTTAAGACAAGAGGAAAAAAAAAAGTTGAGGGTTAAGCCTTTCTTCAACAAGCTGATGGGTTCATAATCAAATGTACAATATGGCATTTGAAAAAGCAAACATTTCCCCTTTTTTTCTTTTTTTTAAATCAAATTAACTATTCTCTGTGTAACAACTGGGTTGCATCCTTGTGTAGATCTGCATCCCATGAACATCTTTAGGCATTTAAGCATATGCCCTTTCCATATTGTTTCAGCATATTTCAGAGTCAAGTTCAGTTGCTGGCAGGAATGTTTTTAATATTGTACTTCATGTTTTTATTACTTGTTATTATACTTGACCTTCGCCACATAGCTACTTATTCTTCTAGCATGAAGTTATTGTATCATATGCTCAAACATATTTATGTCAATGTCATCACAGATTCATAAACTTTTGTATGTGATGACAAAATCTGTCCATAATCCTAAGTATCTAACAATGAGACATGCCTTATATTTATAAAAGACTGTGAAATATGTATGTTCTCGTTGCACAAAGCTTTACTTGGTTTGATATTAGGACAAAGTATCTCTTGAGTTACAGCAATGCAATGCAGATTTTTAAATTTTGAAAGTTCATCAAGATGATTTTGACTTGTGCTACCTAAGGATCTGAGGTTATGGCTACTGGGACTCTGTGTCATTTTGATTCTAAGCCATCTTGTCCCCACTGTCATCCTTTCTTGCCTAATTAATCCAAACCAATTCCTACTATGAATAAATCTGGGGAAAAAAAACAACTTTGAATATAATTTATGAATTAATTTTTATTACTTTATTTTAAACTTATATACTAAAATGTAAATACAAAATAAGAAAAAAAACATTGTTATGTGTACAGCAGCACATGAGAGGATTCAAAATATACAGCAATAAATTTCCATTTCAAGAAAGCTACTATAATAAATGCTATACATTGTATTCAGAGCTATCCATCTTTTCTTTGCTTCCTAGTAAGTTTTCTTTTGTTCTTCACTCTGTGCTTTTTACCTTGTTCTTTGTTCCTCCTTCTCTTCCCTCCCTCCTCCAAGAAGGCTACAATTAAGCTAGTGTGTGTGTGTACATGTGTATATATATGTGTATGTACATGCACATATGTGTGTATATGTATGTACATATATACACATATACAAGCATATATACACATACACTTACATATGTATACATACACTTAAAAATCTATAATCATATTCATAAACAGACATATACATCCATATAAGACCATCTTTATAAGACCATACCATACTTGATTTTCCTGTTTCTCTGAGGGTGAGGGTGGATAACATCTTCCTTCAGAAGTCCAAGTCCTTCCAGATTTTTCTAAGCCTAAATTAATTCTAAAGAATGATTTTAGAAAGGATTCTGGGAAGATGGTAGAGTAGGTCAGAAATTCTAGGCTTTCCAAATTTTCTTCAACAAACAAAACAGAATATCATCTCAAAGTGAACTTGGAGCAGTAAAAATAAAGGACAGTCTGGTAAAATAGTTGTCTTCCTAAGACACCTTGAGAAGATCTCAAGAAAGTCTCAAATTCCAGGGGCAGAGCTTTGGACTCACTGAAGAGCAGACATGTCCAGGCCTACTCCTCTGAATCAACAAACAGTAAGCCCTGGGGTTAGCTAGTTAGGAAGTAACCGAGGCCTTAGGAGATTTCATCTGATAAATAGTGTTGGGGTAGAACAGCTGAGCAAAGGAAAATTGAAGAACCCTCAGCTGTCTCTGGACGCCAGGCTCGGCTGCGTTGACCAAAATCTGTGGAAGAGAAGGTGCAAGGGTGAGTGCATTAGCAGAGGGGCGGGGACTTTGCTGACTGGGGGACACTTGCAGGACAGCAGAGTTGCTGGTTTCCATTCCAAGGCAGAGGGGAGAGCTGAGGTTTGCAACCATGGGAGGGACCACAGGGAATAAGAGTATTTGCAGGACAGCATAGCAGGGAGCCACAGCCATGGTGTAGGGAGAGGAGTGCCTAAGATTAGGCCCTGAGACAGAGCTCAGAAAATAACAGTAAGAAGGAACTAAAGCCTGGGACATTATTGCCCACACCTAGGGACTAGAACCTGATTACAATAAGCAGCTTAAAATAAAATAAAAATAAAAATAAAAATGAGTAAGCATAGGAGAAAGAACCTGACCACAGACTGCTACAATGGTGATTGAGAAGATCTGGATTCATATTCAGAGCAGAGTAAGACAGTGAAGTAAACAAACAAACAAAAAAAACCACCACTACCTCAAAGATAAACATCAAGTGGTCACTAGACCAAAAAGAGTTATTGGAAGAACTTCTAAAAAGACTTCAAAAGTCAAATAAGAGAGATCAAGGAAAAATTAGGGAGGAAAGAGCAATCTAAGAAAATCAAGAAAACTACAAAAAGAGAGTCAACCAATGGGAGAAAGAGATCCAAAAAATTAAGGAAGAAAATAATTCCTTGAAAACTAGAATTGGGCAAGGGGGAGCAAATGATGTTATATAACACCAAGAAAAATTTTTTTAAAAATCAAAAGAATGAAAAAATAGAAGAGAATGTGAAACAATTAATTACAAAAACAACTGAAATGGGGAACAGATTGAGGAGAGACAACATAAGCATTGTTGGACTACTTAAAAGTTATGATAAAAAAATCTTGATAAAATATTACAAGACATTATTAAGGAAAATAGCCCTGAAGTTCTACAACAAGAGGGTATAATAGAAATAGAAAACAATTCACACCATCAGAAAGAAATACTAGGATGAAAACTTACAGGAATATTAAAACCAAGTTTCAAAGCTCCCAGGTGAAGAAGAAAATGTTTCAAGTAACAAGAAAAAACAATTTAAGTAATGTAGAGCAACAATCAGGACTACACAAGACCTAGCAGCTTTCACACTAAAAGACCATTGGTCTTGAAACATTATATTTTGAAGAGAAAAAGAGCTGGCATTATGATCAAAAATGAATTACCCAGCAATGTTCAGTATAATCCTGAAAAAATGGACATTTAACAAACTGAAATACTTTTAGATATTTGTGACAAAAAGACCAGACCTCAATGGAAAATTTGCCATATAAGATCCAAGTGAAAAATAAGGTAAATATTAAAGAACAATTATAAGTGACTCAATGAGGTCAAACTGTTTACTTCTTATACGTGAAGATGTTTATTAAGATTGTCATTATTACTTGGGTAGTTTAGAGGAAAGGTTGGAGCTGAGCTGAGTATGATGAGGTAATTCTAAAAAACCAAAATTGGGTAGGGAAAGGTAAAAGGAGTAACTATCTTACAAATGTGGCATGAAATTAAGAACTGGATGGGGGGTGAAGGACTGGTAGTGCTAGAACCTTACTCTTATCACATCTAGTTTTAAGAAGGAACAACACATAAATCTAGAAGGGTATAAAAGTCTTCTAAATTTATAAAGAAATAAGAGTGAGGGGAATAGGATAAAGTAGAGACGTTCATAAGAGTGTGCAGATTAAGATTTAGGAGGGGGGAGGGAGGGGATAAGGGAGGGACTCTTAAAGGGGTAGGTGGAATAAGAAATAGAGGGGTGAGGGGAGAGGATAATGAAGGGATTCTTTAAATGGTTGAGGATAGGGGCAGCTAGGTGGTGCAGTAGATAGAGCACCAGCCCTGGATTCAGAAGGACCTGAGTTGTAATCCAGCCTCAGACACATAATACTTACTAGCTGTGTGACCCTGGGCAAGTCACTTAACTCCATTGCCTAACAAAAAAAAAAAAAAAGTTGAGGATAAAGGAGATAGTGTTTAGAAATAAACTAAACATGTGAGGAGGAATAGGGTAAGGAAAGAGTCTGAGAAAGACAATAGTGAGGGGAAAATAGGATGGAGGGGAACACCCAAAGAGTAATTACAACATTGAACGGGATGAATTAACCTGTAAAATGGAAATGGACAGCAGAATGGATTAAAAAAACAGTGCTCAACAATATGTTGTTTTACAAGAAAAATATTTAAAAATGAAAGATACACACTGAGTTAAAATAAAGGGCCGTAATAGGTTTCATTATTCTTCAGCTGATGGAAAAAAGGGAAGGGTAGCAATCATGATCTCAGAAAAAGTTAAAGCTAAAATAGATTTAATCAAAGGAAACTACCTTATGATAAAAAGTACCATAGACAATGAGGCAATATCAGTACAAATTTTTATGCACCAAATGTATAGCATCAATTTTTTTTAAAAGAAAAGTAAATGAATTACAGGTTGAAATAGACAGTGGTACTATAATAGTGGGGAACTTCAATCTTTCCCTCTCAGAACTAGATAAATCTAACCAAAAATAAACAAGAAGTCAAGGAATAAAAATTTACATCTGATATGATATTTAGATATGATAGATATGTGGAGAGAATTAAATAGGAATAGAAAAAAAATACACCTTTTTCTCAACAGTATATAGTAACTTTACAAGGACTGACCATATGTTAGAGCATAATTTTTATAGTGAAAAGCAGAAATACTAAATTCATCCTTTTCATTTCACAATGCAATAAAATTATATTTAATAATTCATCACAGAAACAGAATGAAATGGGAGACTAAACAACCTAATATTAAAGAATGAATGTCAAAGAACAAATCACAGAAACAATCAATAATTTCATTAAAGGGAATGATAATAATGAGACAACATATCAAAACCTATGGATACAGCAGAGGAAAAATTATCTCCCTAAATGTCTACATCAATAAAATAGAGAATGAGGAGACCAATGAATAAAAAACAAAAAGAAGAAGAGTAACAAACTAAAAATCCCCAATTAAATACTATATTGGAAATCCTAAAAATTAAAGGTGAGATTGATAAAATTGAGTGTAAGAAAACCATTGAATTAACAAATAAAACTAGGAGTTGGTTTTATGAAAAAAGCAATAAAATAGATAAACCATTTGTTAATGTGATTTTAAAAAGGGAGAAAAAAAAACAAGTCACTAGTATTAAAAATGAAAAGAGTGAATATACCACTAATGAAGATGAAATCAAAGCAATTATTTGGACCAATTATATGTTAATAAATTTAATAATTTAAATGAAATGGAAGAATACTTACAAAAATATAAATTGACTAGATTAGCAGAAGATGAAATAGAACATCTAAATGGACCCATTTTAGAAAAAGAAATTGTACAGGGCATAAATGAGCTTCCTAAGAAAAAAGCACCAAGACCAGATAGACTTGCAAGTGAATTCTACCAAACATTTAAAAACTAACTAATTCCAATATTAAATACATTATTAGTAATAAAAGACAAAGAAGGGGCACTACCAAACTCCTTTTATGAAATAAATATGATAGATACCTAAACTAGGAAGAATAAAAACAGAAAAAAAATGGTAGGCCAATTTCATTAATGAATATGGATGCAAAAATTCTCAATAAGATTCTAGCTAGGAGATTACAATAATATATTACAGCAATTGTAAATTATATATATAAGTCCCAAATCCTGGGATTTATACCAGGAATTCAGGGATAGTTTAACATGAAGAAACTATTGGTATAATTGATTATGTTGCTATATTGATAATTGGTACATTATATTGATAAATAATAAAAGTAACAAAAATCATATGATTATAACCATAGATGCAGAAAAAAACAACTTTTGATGAAGTACAAGACTCATTTCTATTAAAAACATTTGAAAGTAGAGGTATAAATGGAGTTTTCCTTGAGTTGATAAAAAGCATTTATCTAAAACCATCAGCAAGTATTATTTGTAATGGGGATAAGCTAGAAACCATCCCAGTAAGATCATGTGTGAAACAAGGATGCCCACTGACATCAATATTATTCAATATGGTATTGAAAATTCTAGCAATAACAGAAAGAGAAGAAAAATAAAATGAATCAGAATGAGCAATGTGATAATAAAACTATCTCTTTTGCAGACTATATGATGATATACTTGAAAAATCCTAAAGATTCAACTAAAAAGTTAATTGAAACAATAAATAATTTTAGCAAAGTAGCAGGATAAAAAGTAAATCTATATAAATCATTCCTATATATCCCAAACAAAACTCTGCAAGAAGAGATAGTAAGAGATACCCCATTTAAAATAATTCTAGACAGTATAAAATACCTGAGTATACTTTATAGATTTTTATAAAGTTCTTTATATATTTGAGATAAGAGATTTTTATCTAAGAAACGGTCTATAATATTTTCCCCAATTTTCTGCTTCCCTTATGATTCTGGCTACATTACTTTTATTTGTCAAAAATTTGTAATTCAATGTAATCAAAATTATCCACTTTACACTTTACTCTGCTCTCTATCTCTTATTTATGTATAAATGGTTCACCTATTCATAAGTCTGATAAATAATATGTTCTATGTTCTTCAAATTTTCTTATAATATGTCTATATCTGGTTGATGTATCCATTTTGGTCTTATCTTGGCAAATGGTATAAGATATGTTCAATGTCTATGCTCACTTTCTGCCAGACTGCTTTCCAGTTTTCCCAACAATTTTTACCAAATAATAAGTTCTTATCCCAAAATCTTAAGTCTTTACACCTGTCAAAGTTTACTATATTTATTTGCTGCTGTAAATTTTATGTCTACTCTGTTTCTTAGCTGGTATCAGATAGTTTTGATAATTACTGCCTTATATTACTGCCTGTAGTTTAAGATTTAGTACTGCAAAACCTCCTTCCTTGACATTTTTATCAGTTCCTTTGATATTCTTGACTTTTTGTTCTTCCAAATGAATTTTGTCATTATATTTTCTAATTGAATAAAAATTTTTGGTAATTTATTT